TTTCCCGTTTCACTCGTGGCTGAGCTCTGATCACATAGGGATCGGAACTTAGATGCGACTGAAACGGTAAAATTGTTGTTGTTTCTGCTGTTTGTCGGATTCATTTCCAACATGCGATTCCTTAGGTTAAGTTAGGTTAGTACGATTCATTACAGTGGAACTCTCGTGATTGTGGAGCTGACAAAGCCGTGGATCAGATGGGAGGGCTCAATGCAGAAGAGAGCGTTTCCAAGAAAAAATGAAACTTGTGAGAGATTGGTGAATCAATACCTGGACAGGAGGAAATGTCGATGTCGCTTCAACGCCAACTCTCGCATTTCCGGTGTTTTGAATCGGACCAGCGCTTCTCCATTTCGTCTGCCTTCAGCAGACAAGCAGAGTGCGATGCCACCTCTGAAATCAGTCAGTGCTGGTCGATAATGGAGCTGGAGTGGTAGATATTAGCATAATTTCAAGCGAAACTCTACTGGCCTCTTTCCATTTTGACTAGCCAAAAAATTTTCACGCGTGCCCGATAAATTCAGGGCGAAGGTGGCGTAGTCTAGCACCGCACGGTCGGGGTTTAAAGTTTGGACAGGCTCACGCACGGATCAGCCAAACTTTCCGTCCCTTAAGGGTAGATCAATTGGTATTGGCTGTGTCTATAAGGATCAAAACATTGATACGTACATTGGCTGACCCCCACAATTCTGAATGAAGTGGGATGCGTGGCGCAACCAAAAACGGATAGATGAAAGGTGCAAACATTAGCATTTTTTTATTTGGGTTGTCCTTTGGACTATGGAAAAATAAGTTTGGAGAGCGTGCTCTATCGCCTTACGCTTTTGTGCTTCTTACCGCCCAACTGGACGTCAGACAATGAGTCATTGGGGTTGACATCAGGACACGTCCTGCCGCTAGGGAAAATCTTCGGAAAGTATAACCCCTCCTAACTTGCTTCTCTGATGCACCCCGCCCTTAGCCATCCTATCCACCACTTTCCTAGATTTTCCCAAACTTCCTACCAGTTCTTCCGGAATTTTCCAAACATTTTCTAGTTTATCCTTCAAAATTCTGCTGTGTAGCGAGGAGGATAGGAGCTGAATACAGTGTCTCTTTTATGGATTCATTAACCGCAAGTCTACCGGATAAATAGATGAAGCTCCCACCAGTCCCTTTCCTGGGCGGGCACTCCTTATACGCCCTTTAAAACTCGTAAGTCTTACTGAAAGTGAGATGGCACATTTAATGAACGGCCTGTGGAGCCTTCAGAAGTACAAACCATGTTTTTTTTATCCTTCTATAGAAGATGGCAGCATTTAACAGTTACGGAGAGCAGGAGACTTGACTGGCTTGGGTGGGAGCCGATTTGGACCTCACAGTTGACCCCTGGTGCATGGCAAGCTGCCAACTTGCCACTTCACTCCAGCCCCCAACCACAGCACTAGACAGTTCTGAGATTTTGAGTGAAATAGCAGGAACGAAGCAATACTTGCAAGGCTTAATTATAAAATCATGGAAGTTGCATGCACCGACTTCGATCACCACATCCAGCTATAAGATACGGAAACACTGGGCTACAAAAATCCAACGTCCAAGGTGCAAGCTGATCACAAAGAGGACTCGGCGCTTCTTCCAGAATCAGCCGAGTTTTGACCGACTCGTCCCATGCGGGCAGATTTTGCTAAAAAATTGTTTTCAAAGGCTGTTTGACCTATTGAACATGAATGTCATATCCGTTCGGCCCGAAACTGCTGGCGCCCGCGCCGCGCGCGTCCATGGTGGTGGTGGCGCCAGATTATCGCGTCTGATGGCCATTGGCGCCACGGTCAAAATCGAGTGCCATATTCCTGATCAGGATGTCAATCAAACCCCATAAGTTCTCCGACTTAGTAGGAAAGATGCCGGTTTTCACCGATTTTCGTGAAGAATAATTGTGGCGCCAGATTGGCGCCAAATGGCGTCAGCGCAGAAAGCAAGCTCATATCCGTGATCAGAACTTCATCACCCCTATACGCGAAGTTTCAGTGAAAAAATGAGTTTCTGAGGTACAAATGGTTCATAATGCCGAGCACTGGTGACCGAAAGTTTGCATCATCATCAAGATCAAAGAACCTGGGCTTACTCCAAGATTTCAAGTTACGCTTTGAGGCCAAATATCGCAAAAAGCGAAGGTGCAGCTCTCTGCTTACTCCCCGCAGGGTCGAATTTCCCCCTTATCCCCAGAAACACAGACGAGCCCGTGAGAATACATATTTTGAATGTCGAGCGCCAGAATGCTGGCCCGTGAAACGTTCATGAATGGTCTCTCTAATAATTGTTTTGTTGAACTCTTTTAAGAAATCCGAACTATAATAGATATTATCACTGACGGTGCAATTTCGAGTCCAGCAAAGAACTGGGCAACATGGCAATCGGACGCCTGCCATGGTAGACCACGGGCACGAACAACAACATCTCCTTCAATATGTGCATCGCGATCACTAAAAGGACACGACTCAAGTAATTTTGTGATGGTTACCGGATTTTTGGAAGACGTTCAAAAAACATGAAGAAAATTCCACATTACTCACCATACAGCTGGTTCGACGCCAAGATTTACCCTTTCCAAGGTGCTGACTAGTTCCTCTGAAAGCAGTGCTGTTATTTTCAAAGGAATTTCGTCCAATTTAAAGTGTGAAAATAGTAGTAATAACCGCTATAAATCGTAATTAAGACTTGGAAAGTTATTTGATATATTGGTTGATATGATCTGATATATTACGGAATTGTAAGAGTGTGAAAAATGGGCCTGCAGTGACCTTTCACATAATGTAGGGCATCCTTCAGTGCCTGGATGCATTAAACCTTAAATGGTTTAAAGCTATCTAGCACGATCATCTAATATTCGGACTTAAATTCTAGCAGGGTGTATATAGTGGGAAAATGGTGAAAAAAAAACGAAGTGGAACGGTCAAAAACCTGCAAAGAAAAGCCTTTCGTTCTCAATGACTCAAAAAGCAATTTCGGACGAGTTTCCCGTAGGCATCTTGCCAATAACCGCTACGGTAGGTACGGCTGCACGTATGTACTCATATATCCATGCAGCATAGCGGCTGCTTCATCTCATTCCCTTTGCGTCATGTTTTCCTTCGCAAATGGCGCAATAGGAGAATCTGGTGCGGTCGCCCATTCGGGAGCGGGTGGGCGCAGTGGGCGTTGGGTAGGCATGTTGCAGCTTGTTTACAGCATATTCCGTAGATGAGGTGGGCGTAGCCGCGCATATCTTTGGTCGCAGCGACTGAGAAGTTGGTGATACATGGCCGTTTTGGCGCAGTTGTGGTAAAGTCTTTATGCAGCAAGCCATAACATGGACAGCTGTCCCGAATGGGAATATCCTACGAAAAACGCATCCTACGCCTGTTTGACGGGAGCACGGAGCAACACCCTCTCCATCTTATGGATATAGCTTTGACCTCTAGTGCTGCCGATGCCAGCAATGAATGCCTCAGAGCACTGAACAAGTCCACAGCTGAAGCCCAAAACTCAATTCGGATCATTAACTGCGATCTCTTATTCCCACCTGTTCTAATCAGGCAAAAATCTGCGCTTCCCTACTTTCTGTTTCTTTTCACTTCGCCCTGTTTTTTTTTGTTTCTCACTGTTCTCGTCTCCTCGTTGGGAGCGGCCCGATCGCCCGCGATGAACTCAATGCCAAGGTCAGTGGTAGACACCGATGCGATGATAACCATGTAGGTTTTCCGTGGGAGCGTGACCGTCCCGAAAATCGCTCACGTCGCAGCTCTAGTTTGGCCTATTTAGTCAAAGATTTGAAAAGAGGGTTCAATTGGAGTAGAGCAATTGGGGCAAGTTTTCGCGGAACTTGTCGCCCCAAAAACGATCTATCTGGACGAAACTCAAACCTGCAGCAATTAGCGCAATGGCGCATCTCGTCATTTTCTTGCTTGAACCACTGCACAATTCTTGCCTTCATAACGGATCCTACCTTATCAATTGCATTACAAAAGGGAAAGAAACTGTTACGAATTCTCTCGGCAGACTCAGAAACAAGACGAGGGCCTGCTGATTCAAAAATGGCTGATAAACTTCTCGCTGCAGATACCCAATCAAGGCCATTATGTATGCTACTTTTAGTGAATGAAGTGAACTGAGTAGTTTAAATTGAAGCTTTTATGCCGACCTCTCAGCTATTCTAATGGCTAAGATGTACTTACTATGAGTAACGTTGATCTAGTGAAGCCTCAGTGCTACTCTGATCCTGACTGAACTCTAAGATACAACTAGTTCCCTTACTCTGAACATTATTCTCTCAACCATTTAATTAATCAGTTGTTCCTATCAGAATCTTTTAGAACCTTCAAAAAAATTTATGGTTGATTTAGCTTGTCTCAGAGCAAAACTAAACTACAGCTCGCACCATGGCATCTTGAGAGGGCGTGTTTACGGATACTTTGAGCGCGAGTGCGGCTGCCGTCTGTGGAATGTTTTCGGGCAATTCAGGGCACGTAGATAGCAGATGAGAAAAGGAGCGCGGGCTG